CCGCTAACCAAATAGTCAATACCGTTTTAACCGGTTTTATAAAAAAAATAAGGCGGTAGTTTTAACCGTGTTGCAATTTTAAAAAAAATCTGATTTTTAAAATTATATTAAAAAACTGCCCTAATTCTGAGCTACAGAAAAAATAGTTTTAAAAATATAATATTCACTTGATTTTGTTAAAAGTTTTGAATGGTTTTTGATAAGTTAAGAATTGAAAACGCGGGCCATGGCAAAAGACAACGAGGGCCACTTTGTGGCCCGCGGGCCACGCGTTGGACAACCCTGCTTTACAACGTGTTAATAATCGCGGAAGACCAAGTGGTTCAACAAATGTTGTTCCAGAAGTAGAAATACTAAATGAGGCAGTGGTGGATTGAGGTTTAGTGTCGCGGGGGGGCCAAGTCAATAATTAGGGGCGACCGGGGTTGCCTTCAGTAATTTAACCTTATATATATTTATATTTTAATTGTTTTAGGGGGCGCCGTTAGACCGTTCTAGGGGGGCGTGGGGGGCAGCTCGCTGCCCCCCCCCCCCACGCTCTATACTAAATCCGCCACTGAAATGAGGCAGCAATATTAACAGAAAATTGGTGTTTGTTTGAAATTGGGTCTTGTTTAGATCAATCCATATCTACACTATGATGGTTAGCTCAGAGGAAGCTTATTAAAAACAGTTTTTTTTGTAATCCCTGTAATCGATATTTTACATTAAACGCTTTCAAAAGAACATTGGATGGGTACTGCTGGTACTGTTAAGAATGTAAGCGGCGTCGAAGTGTTCGCGATGGATCATTCTTTACCAGAAGTAAATTTTCGTTTAAACAAATTATACTCTTTATTTATTGCTGGAGCAGGGATATGCAATTAAAAGACATACAGTATGAAGCCCGCTTGAGTAGTGTCAGCCATACGCTTGTAGATTGGGGTAACTTCTGTCAAGATGTATGCGAAGTAGAGATTGAAACTAATCCTTATGTCGTTGGTGGCATAAATAAAGATGACTCTAATTGTTGTGAAAATAAATGAATCTAAGTTTTTTCATTGCAAGCATCATCGCGGACAATGGCGCCCTGGTCATTGGGTATTCGTTGGATTAGAAAGGGGTTCAGGTGAATGTTTTATAGTAGAAGTTCCCGATCACACTGCAGAAACACTTCAGGATATGATTTTACGTTATATTTTACTTGGAACTCATATCGTTTTTGATGGTTGGGCTTCATATGGGGGAATTGAAAACATCCAAAACGGTATTTATTCACATGCTGTTGTTGTCCATGAACCCAATTTCGTTGATCCTCTAGATGATAAAGTTTATACCCAAAATGTAGAAAATCTGTGGATGCGGGTAAAACGCAAATTGCGACGACAGTTTGGGACATCAGAAGACCTATTTACATCTTATTTTCATGAGTTTATTTGGCGTCAACGTTTTAAAAATTTCCCTTTGTTTTCAGCATTTATTTCTTGTATTTCACGTCAATATCCTGTATAAACTATAACATAAACGGCTGTTTTCATAGCCACATATTTTTAAAAAACATTAAACAAAACTATGTTTTTTATTATTGAAATAAAAACAATTCAATAGAATTTTTTAAGTATCTACGAACGAGAGCGCATAAAGTTAAAAAATAATTTTATTTAACGTGCCTATTCTGCAACATTACCGGATGTTCTAGAAGATATGTTAAAGGCGGCACAAAATTCTTCCATAAATTTTCTATTAAAAATTCAGAATTGTGTAAAAAATGGATTGTTGCTCTGGAATGTGAAAATTTTATCCCAACTAAACTAACTATGCTTGTACATGTACCGACCATTTTTTAGAATTTAACTATAATTACTGTATTCCAGATAAAAATATTGCAAGTATTGATCGTCATTATAAACCAATTTTAAAATTGAACGCTGTGCCATCAGTTTTTGTATTTTCTGCAAATACACAAAAGCCAAAAAGAAAACTCCCAACAATACGAACACTACCAACAATTGATCCTTTGTTAAAAAAAAAAATTGATGTCTACCCTGCAATAAATGATACCGACAAAGAAATAAATTTAACACATAGTTATCAGCCAGAAAGCACAACTCATAGTACTGACCAAACAAATCAATCTTCAACATCTGTATTATCTATATCACCAACCAAAGAAAAATTAAAAAAAAAAGTCAAAGCTTTACAGCAAAAGTTAAGAAGAAATGAAAAAAAAAATTAGTTCTTTAAAAGATATGGTTTCCCATTTACAATTTATTTAAAAATTATTTGACTAAAGATGCTGCAACTGTTTAAAGCAAAAATTTTTCTGGACTCTCTTATGAAATCATTAAAAATCAATTTCTCAATCAAAATGTTGAATCAAAAGGTCACAGATACAATGATGAAGTAAAAAAGTTTGCTTTCACTCTTCATTTTTATTCTCCACGTGCATATAACTTTCTTCAACCAATGTTGTTTCTTCCTGTTGCCAGTCACATTGGACATTATCTGTAAATTGTGACCCTGAATTATTACGTGATTTTTTTGCCTATCTTGGTGATAAACAAAAAACAGATGTAAACTTTAAATATTGTACCCTCATTATTGATGCTATGGCAATCAAAAACAGTATAATTTATGACAAAAGTTCAGGTCACTATATTGGTTTTTGTGATTTTGGCAAGGAATTATTGTATGCAAACCTGATACTCCAGCTACTGAGGCATTAGTTTTCAATAAAAACTAATGCCTCAGTAGCTGGAGATGAAAATTTTACTAACATGAAATATTAAATTGTAAATATTATTTATTTATATGTCTTATTCACATAAAGTTGTAATAGAGATTGTAATAATGATTGTAATAAAAAAGAAAAAGAAAAAAAAAAAAATCAAATAAAGTTTTTAATTTTTTGACCAATAAAACTGTTAATTTCATTCTTTCGTATAATTCTTACTGACAAACTTGTTCATGCTGTTGTACGTGGTTTTGCTGGTTCTATTGGAATTCGACTAAAGTTAATGTTATGAAATATTGTTGGAGCTACGTTTGGTAGTTTCTTTTAATTAATCATCATCAAATTAACATTTTCAGACCAATGTTTAAAGCATACCACACTATATTTTGAATCAGGGATATTATATCTTAGAATTCCAATTTTTTCATCGTAAACTTTCATCTTTATCTTTTGGTAGACGATAAACGGATACGTATTTTTTATTCTTTTTGTCATAGTTAGACGAGCATGAAGTAACGCAACACTTTAGAGGCATAGTGCATTCAGTAATTTTTTTACTCAGGCAATTTGCTTCCGAGTTTCTGCTTAAAAATTAGCCTCCAGCTTTCATAGTTTCATAATATTATCTCTCAGCGTCCAAAAGTTATGACAATATAAAATTTGCAACCGCCTTAAATTAAGGGGGGTTTATATTTTTGAACGCTAAAATATTTTACTACGAAATTTAAAATTTATCTATTTAAGTCTAGTTGAAAATAGTACATAAAATATTTCATCAATTTGGTGCTATTACGTTTGGTTCAGAGGGGGGGGGGGGGACAAAATGTTGGGATTTTTTTTGTCCCCACGCTCTAATCATCGCATTTTTTTCAAAGCATCTTTAATTGACATAAGTATAAACATATAAATGTTTGGAGTTTGCTACATGTCTGGAAGTTAGCTATCTTAAAGACCAAAAAATGCTCGCGGCGCCCCTGATTTTTTTTATTACAAAGTTTTATTCACTAAAATTACAACAAAATAAGGCTTTAAATGGCTTTAAAGATTTTTTATTTAACAATTGTGACATTTAGATTGACGTGAAATACTACTATTGAATAGTTTTATTGATAGAACTGTTATTTAATTGTATTTCGGTTTGGGATATATAAAATTATATCATTATTAAAAAGATACGAAGTACTGCCGTTTTTTTAAAGGAAACTATAAACAATTTATTACTTCTAAATAACATATTCTTGAAAATTTATTGATTTAATTTTAAAAGTACAATACATACAAAACTTAAGTGCCGCCTTCACCCACGAGCGTTAGCGGGGAAGCCACAGCGATAGAGATGGCATTTTAACAGAAAAATAATATCTTTAAATTGAAATAAAAATAGGATTTTGAGGAACTTATTAAAATTATCTTAAGTTAGAAGATATGTTGTAATTACTATTTAGTTGTTAAAAACAGCCTGACTTATTTTCATTGGCTGGTTTTAAAAAATAGTGCTATATATTAAATATATTTATAAATTTGTTTCCCATCGTTCATGTGTAATGAACCCTAAATTTTTTTTGATAATAAGTAGAGAAACGTTAAGATTGATTTTAATCATTTTTTGACTGATTTAAATCATTTTTCCAAGAACCACAATTCCATTGGTCAAAGTCGTTTTTCAAATGTTTTGACGTTTAATTTTTGAGCAGCCCTGAAGCAGTTGTTGGAGCCTCAGAACCCAAGGGTTTAAGGTTTGATACTGGCTCTAGCCCAACAAGCGTCATTGGTACGGAAAGAGGTGTGAACTTCTGGATAAATGTTCTCCCGCATTACTCTGTGATAAGACCGTAAGAACTTCTGGAAACAACTAAATAACTACAAAAAAAAGTCTTGATGTTGCATTTTCCAGGACATTTAAGTCCTATTAAATCAATATTATCAAAACTTTTAGTTTTTTTGTTCCTTTTTATTGAATAATAAAATATTATGTTAATATTAGTTTTGTTACAACTTTAAAATATTTTGACTAAATTGACTACTATACTTTCCAAAGTCGATCAAATCCGACTTGAACGTTTTTGAAAATCTAAAGTCAGTTTAATAAACATATTTAAGTAGGGGAAAGGCGCCTATGATGGCATAGCGCGTATGATGGCATACCGGTAATATTTTCATAAATATTAGTTATGGCAAAAAAGTGATTTTGACCTACAAGTTTTTACTGATTTTAAATTAGTTTTAGTAAAAACACGTTCCTTATGCACAAATATTG